CAAGGCCAGGCTGGATGGGGCTTGGAGCAACCTGGTCTAGTGGGAGGTGTCCCTGCCCATGGCAGGGGGTTGGTACTAGATGGTCTTTAAGGTCCCTTCCAACCCAAACCATTCTATGATTCTATGATTATTGTAGGTACAGTTGCACTTAGAATTTCATAATACTTCATTGGGGGATGAAGCATTGAATACCTCTCACAGAAGTTACTGGAACAAAATCTGTTTAAATTGAAACTTCAAGAATTCAGCAGAAAAGATGCCGTATCATTCAGGTTGTAAACAGAATGCTGCTTCTAGCCACCTTTATGAAACAGGCTGCTAAATGTGCTCTTAGTCCTGGACCTCCTCCTAAAGCTTCGCATTGACTTAAAAAGGCCAGCCCAGTATGTGCTGCTTTCTTATGAGTCTGTATGGAATAATTTTTGTTAAGAAGCTAGCTCCTAAAGTACCTGTAAGGCAGACCGCTTCTCATGCTTCAATAATGCTAAACCGGCTGCTTTGCCTCCCAGCTGAATGCGTGGGGACAAGGACCATCGTCATAACAATTATACCTGCTGCATCTGACTCACTACAGCTCCTGCTGGGAGAAGTAATAAAATGTACATTTCACTATGCCAGTAAGATCTGCCACAGTGCAAGGAGGATTCACTTCCAAGTTCAGATTTTCTAGTTGTAATTTTCCTCCCTCACTCTGTGCATTTTTTGAGCACTGTGAAAGAATAACTTTAGATTATGATGTCTGAGGAGACTACCTGCAGAAGCTCAAAAAGTCTGGGATCTATATTCATGCTTTCAGGAATATTTCTTGATAGGAGTGTCGTATTCTCTGCACCACAGGAAAGAGAAAACAAAGCCAAGTACTTTTAGCTCCACAGCACAAATGAGAGCTCTGTGAACACACCCCTGTCTGCAGCACACTTTTACCTGATAAACGTTCAGCATACAGACACTGACAACCTTGGTAGAGCTAGCTGTGGGGAAAAATTACCTGAAACGTTACCGTTTACCTTACAGCTGCAGCTTTGCACCTTGAAATGTTCACATTTCACCTGTAATTTAATCTCTGTTATTAATGAATTGTGGAAACTCTTTTTCCTAGGCACTAGACCATCAGACTGTGCATGGAGTCTGTCAGCAAATAATATTACTAAACACCCATGTAGTCTTTTAAACATTCTAAAAAGAAATAGCTGTACATCAAAAATATGCAGCTCTTTTTCACCTTGGTAACATATAGTAACCATCTAAATACTGTCCTGGGCAACCGGCTCTAGGTGGCCCTGCTTGAGCAAGGGGGTTGGACAAGATGCCCTCCAGAGGTCCCTTCCAACCTCAACCAGTCTGTGATTCTGTGATATGTTAATTGTCTTTCTTCAACTCATTCCTATTGCACAATGATGTCTTTTGAAATGATTCATCTGTCGCGATCAACAAAGGTCACTGTTTTAAAAGACTTCTTTAGTAAATATCCTAAAGGAGCTTTTCAAATACTTATAATTAAATTCTGTACCTTTGTCTTCTTCTGTACTGAGTGATATTTTGTCCTAATAAGAAAATCTACAGAAGATCTTTTAAGGACATCTTAAGGATGGCATTGTTAGATTCAGGAGAATCGCTATACGTTATAAATGTAATCAGATGTACAGATAATAGTAGGCACTGAAAGGAAAGATTTTATAAAGCTATTTCAATTACTTATCAAGTACAAGATTGAACAAGAAGCTATATTCTGCTTTGGGAGGATTTAAATGCCACCTTATTTACTTTGAGAACAAAGAGATTTTCAGTTTATCTGTTCTGTGTACATAGAAGAGGCAACAGAATGGATTTGTTGTGCACAAATCATGGCTAAGGTGGTGTTGAGAACAGCATAGATAAAGGGGTTAGTGTGGCTACAGGCAAACAACGATTATTTGTTGACTTCAGTGTGCTTTTGGTGCATTGCTAGAATGAGCAATGGGTAGATCAGAACCCTACAAAGAGTTTAAGGGGCTCAGTGGAACAGGTACAGTTAATCTGCGTTTAGTTGTTTGACTGACTTAATAAGAAGAAAGTTATGTACGTCTATGTTTTATCCTTCTTAAATTACATTAAACATTATGTAACAGTCGAATAGGAGAATTAGATTTACGAATGCCTCACGCAGATATTCAAGACTGGTCACATCTGTTGCTTATGGAGAGTGAGATTTGACATGCAAGACTTATCCCTAAGAACTGTGCTGTAGATGTTATGATCACTGATAACTCTTTGCAGAACCCCATTTTAAATCTGTTGTCACTGAGAATTTACAAATGAACCCAAGGATTATATGACAATATTGATCATATTTTTCACAAGTTTTTGAATCAGTTGATTCTTTTTTAATATATTTCTTTAATCACACTCTAGTGAGTTTGTTCTTTCACCAGTATACGAATTAGCTACCAGGATATTGGATATTATGGAGCCTACCAGCTAGATACTTGTAGGATGCATACAATATGGAGTTATATGACATCAAACCTAGTAAATAATCACATGAATGTATCATTGTCAGCTCACCTTTGTGATATTCTACCCTAGTAATGAATATTTTAAAGAACTTCTTAGTAACTGTTCCTATATCTGTTTTCAAGACAATTTAATGTCATAATAGTTCAACAATAAAATACAGGCTTTTAGACATACTAGCCAGCCACGGTATTTATAGCTGTGCAAGCGACAATGATATGTACAATCTACTGTGATCCTTTAAGGTGAAGGGGAAGATATCAAGAAAATACAGCATTATCAGTGGTTCAATACAGTATGGGTTTTGAAGTAACAGGTATTTAATGATTCATTACTTCAATTACACAGTGTTCTTATATAATGTAGTAGTTGTTCTTATATAAGAATATGTCCTACGACATAATACAGTAAACGTTGAACTAATCTGTGCAGGGTAATGCTGCATATGTAGACTCAAGCCATTTTTATGATGGCATCATCCGGTACAAAGATAAAACAAAGCTGAGATCCTTTAAAGGCTATAAAAGAGCTTTCTTTTTCCATATTTTTAAAATTAAGGGCAAAATCCTGTTCTCTACTGAGGGCAATGTCAATTTTACCAATGGAAGCAAGATTTCATTTCAAATGGAGAAAGCAGGAAACATTTCAGTGTGCTCCTCTTGTCTCAGTTTTCTTCACTGGCCCAAGTTTTCCTGAGTTAAGTCCTAGAATGACTTATGTGCTGACGACAATCAAGACAAGTAATCTTTTTGCCATAATTTGAATGGTTTCAGCATATTTTAGATCTCCAAAATGGATTGCATTTGTTACCTCCTTTCCTTTTTTTTTGCCTTTCTCTTGTGTATGATATCCCTCAAAAAAGGTTTGGGGATCAGTCATCCCAAACATTTTACTACTCAACAAAGTTTAATAACCACTCTATGTGTCCACTGAGATCAGAAGGGAGCCACACATCTTAATTCTATTTAACTTTTTGTAGCAATATGTTCCTCAGTGTGTCAGTTTTATAACAGGCTCAGTGGAGAGAGATACATCATTATGATACTGCGTAACAAGTCGTCAGGACAGGGGGATGTGGAAGTTTTACCTCTCAATGGGACAAGCTGTTGTTTATAGGATCATAGAATCATTTAGGTTGGAAAAGACCTTTAAGATCATCGAGTCCAACCACAAACCTAACACTGCCAAGTCCACCACTAAACCATGTCCCTAAGTGTCACCTCTACACGTCTTTTAAGTATCTCTAGGGATAGGTCAATTAAGTACAGGATCTGACACCTTCTCTGCCAAAGTAACATTTACATTGCCCAAGAGGGAAGTTTTGGCAGTCCTGCTAACGTATCATCAAATCAGTGAAAGGCAAATATATTTTGGAAAGTACAATTGAATCTGCACTTCTCAAGGACCCTAAGAAAGAGATTGCAGTAAATCCTAACATACTTTACCAGCAAAGGTTCTCTCTGAGGAATGCAGCCTGAGACATAAAGCACATGAAAAGACAAAATTCCTGATGAAGTAGGTCAAGAAAATGCTCAGAGTAAATCACTGGCATATAGAAAGACTTTTTTTTGGTTTGGTGGTTTTATAAGAAAATTAAATAAAATGTTTTGGGTTTCGCCTTTGTCTTTCAAAAAAATTGCTGTATGTTGTATATACATATTTTTATTTTTTAAGTTTGCTTTCAAAGTAACTGGCTAGTATCAAGGAATTTTTTGAGTGTGATAAATCTAGGGAATAAAGGTAGTGTGCGAGAGCCTTTCCCTTTCTCCTTGCTGAAGGTGTTTAAAAGGAAGTGTTAAGGACCAGAGAACACGGGCCAAGAGTATACACCAGAAAAAAACATCAGACAGAAGGTTGTACATATTGGCAATGGTGATTTTGTGCCATTTATGTGAAGGTAGAATTCCTTTCTAAAGGATAATCTTAGCCATTTTCCATGTCTGATCTACCAGACTGCCGGCCCTTTTTGCCATTCCTAGCTGTGGTTGATGGAAAACAGTACTGTGACCTTTCTCCAAAATTTGATTTTCACTTCCATTCTGCAGCATCCGTGTGCTGAGCAACTTACATATTTTTTTAACATCAGTCTCCTAAATCTTTAGTTCATGGGAAAGGTTCAGAAAACAAAGAAGCCATTGTTGGAGGCTAAGACACCACTGAAGTCAGTTCAGATCATTTGCATTCCAATCAGTTGCCTGGAGACACCAATTTTTTATAACATAGAACATAATTGTCCTGGTTTTGGGAAATGATGTGCTGGAGATGGGAAGGCAGTCGTTTTGGAAAATGTACAGTTAAGTTTGCAGTATCATGAGAAACACAGATTGATGTTCTCTGTAAACCTCAGCATGCACAAGTTTAGCAGGCACTTGACTATGTGATTGCATGAATGCAGCATTAATGAAATATAGTCTTGTGAGGGAAAGGGACTGTCCTGGCTGGGTTAATATGAAGTCCTTGTATTTGCTTTTATAATTAATTTCATTTTATTTTCGTGAACGTTTTAGGTGTATCAATACATGCATGAAACCATAACTGTTAATGGCTGCCCCGAATTCCGAGCCAGGGCCACTGCAAAGGTAGGACACGTGCAACTGTTGAAATACGTGCTACCAAAGTGACCTAGTAATTGACTGTGCGCGTGTGTGTTTCAGGTATTCGTGTGTACACTGTAAGAAAATTTAGACATCAGTGGCAGCCCAGAGTCTAGAACCAGTGCTACTTCCCAGGTAACAATCATAACGGAAAATTTAAACCTTTATGCTGCTTCTGTAGCTTAAGAAAAGAGAATGATTTTATGGAATTTGATGCTTTTTGAAAAGTTGCTTTGCAAAAGCAAATCTACTGGTTCATTCTGTAGAAGTCTGCCTGCAACAATCAATATTTTAATGGACTGTTTTCCCATACAGCTCATCCGGCGAGGACACAATGATTTGGGACATAGAAACTAAACAGTCAAAATTCCACTTTTAGCTAATGGGAACTGTAGGTGCTAAGCAAGTGCTGAGGATGAACAGTGACAAAAATGGCCTGATCAAGAGACTTCCACAGCCAAATGCAAGCCTGTTTTTTCTGATACATTACCTATTTTAATAAAATACATTGTCTCTTTGTCCATGTGGACCTGCCTTTCTCCTGTCTTTAGACCATGACAGCTGCATTACTGCTACTACCAAAATGATAATTTTCTAAGGGAATTCACACAACCATGAAAGGACCCATTCTATGTGCCAGTATGAAATATGCTCTGTATTTTCATAACATGCACAAAGACAGATGCTTCCAAACAGGGAGATCCACCATGGCTTTCTTTTTCCCATGATCATTTTGTACTCAACACTGTCTTCTGGGTGGTATAGCCGATACTATGTGAAACAGGTAAACCTGCAAAAGCCATAAAATATTTTTAGAGATATTCCTTTATGGTCCCACTCCTGTGAAGTTAGTGACAAAACTCCCTGAAGTCCTAATGGAACTAAGACCTTACTTACCATTATGCATTTATGTTAAGAGATTTTAATTTAAAGCTGTAGCAGAAGATGAAATTTGGGAGTGTGTTACAAAATGATTTCTACAGTAATTTAGAGAAGCAAGCTGTATAGTAGCCAGCAAATAACCTAATATACACTAAATTGCAGTGTATTTTCATTACTAAATAGAACGTTCTTTTCTGTAGGCTGTTCTTCTGATTTTAACCTTCTTCTAATTGAAAGTTAATGGACAACATAAATTTGTAAGGTCTGTGGTTCTATGTAGAGAAATGTGTATATGAGGTCCTGATTTGTCTACACTGCAGGTAAACATAGAAATTAATGCTATGTTCTGTAGTAAATGGGGAGAAATCCAATTAGTGTTTGCCATTCTCATTTCTTATTCATATAGAACAGCAGGGTTACAGAGCAATGTTTCAATATCGCAATATTTCCTGGTTATTTCTGGGCTGTCTGCATTGCATTCTCCTAGTGCATTCATGTCTGACATAAAATGTATGCATGATGACAAGGTCTGCATGTTCAAAAACATGTAACTGATAATGTTCCATTATGTCACATCATCCACTAGCTTCTATTAAGCATAAACATTATTACGATGCTCAAAAAACGTTAGCATAATGCAGAATTGTTTGAGCAGTTTGGACTACAAACACACACTGAAAATGATAAAAGATTTCTTAATGTTTATTTAATGATTTACTATTATAAGTAGGAAAATACTTGTAGCGAAAAATGAAGTGTAAGATGTAATATTTTTCTGGATGCAAGCTTTACAGTTTGTTACGTGAGGGTTTTTTTTGAAAGTAAGATTAACAATCTAGGATTTTTCTGATTGATTATAAATCCATTGTTTTAGGATTTAGTTTTTCAATAAAAGTTTTGATCCAGTTATATTATAAAAACTCATATTCCTGTTTCAAGAGTTATTTGGTTTGCAAGATTTCATAAAGATTATAAATCAAACTTTTAAAAATAAGAATATCCTCTTTTTAGGACTTTTTTCTGTGCCTAAAGAATAAAATAAATAATTCTGTACCTCTGAAAGCAGAGCGGAGAGTTAACAATTCAGTTCATCCACTTCATTTCAACTAGGAACACAGTAGAGATCACATTAGCTTATCCCACAGTAGTAAATTTTCTCCCTGGTAAAATGCAAAGAAGAAATGCACTAGTGATCATAAAAGTTCATCACCACGCAGTCAGGCTTCCCAGTGCCTACTTCTGGCTCTGCTGCTAACTTTCTGCGTTGTCTTTGATAAGTCACCTAAACTCTCTATTCCTCTGCTTATTCCTTTATTTCAAAAGCATTGGCATGGAACTCAGTATTTTTAAAATGCTTTCAGATAATCAGAAAAAGTCAGAGTAAGATACTGAAGTGTTTCCACAGGAATAAATTCTTCCTGCAAATGAACATCAGAGTGTATATCAGTGTTCTCCCTACATAGCCAAATCACCCGTTTTTTTTCTTCCAGGCAACAGTTGCTGCTTTTGCTGCAAGCGAAGGCCATTCACACCCGCGAGTCGTGGAGCTGCCAAAGACTGATGAAGGCCTGGGCTTTAATGTCATGGGAGGAAAGGAACAAAATTCACCTATTTATATTTCTCGCATCATTCCTGGAGGAGTGGCAGAAAGGCATGGAGGGCTCAAACGGGGGGACCAGCTGCTTTCAGTTAATGGAGTGGTATGTGGAAATTTGATAGAGCTTTCATTTTCATCTGGATTTTAATTTTTGACAGCTGTTCTAATACAAATTTAAAGATTTAAAATGCAGCCACATGAAAAAAAAAGAATTAGCTCTGTGAGAGACCTTCAGTGTGCATTTGTGGTGCAGTGTGGCAAAGCTGCATCGACAACTTTGTGCCACAATTTCTGTTGTAACGGAGGGTGCTTGAAGAGTTTCATTTGAAATCCACACCACGTGCTTGATTTCCGAGGAAGCTATGTCTTTCTTAATTGATAATTCTGCAAATTCCTTTTGCAGTAAAAGCATAATAATAGACCTTGTCATTCATAGCCTCTGAGGCACACAGCCCTATCCAAGCACAGTGATGCCTCAGTGGCACTTGTGTAATCCTGTGACCTTCAGAGCCTCTGAACATGTTAAATCCAAAGAAATTTGGTAAGCATATTTGGTGCTGATTTGCAATGGAAAGTGCATTCCAGATTTCATTCAATGACATTCATCCAGCTATATCTTTTGTCAGAGAAATCAGCTGTACAAACGTACACATATAGGGAGTAAGTATTCTCAGTACATAGTTGTTTTTCATGTAAGTCAATATGTCAGGGTGGAGTGTTTTGCAGTAGTTTCACTGTGATTGTCAATATGGAGGTAAAAATAAAAGGATTGTTGGAATAGAGAGGAAAAATAAGGCTCTGACTGCATGATATGTGTCAAATTCTGCCTTTCATTTTGCTTTTTGTTCCCTTTTACAAGGGAATGTAAAGTACTGAAAAGGTAAGCGTACGCATTCATATAACCCTACACTTCTCTTAATGAAAACGTAATCCTTTTTCATGCAAAACCTCCATCGAAACCTCATATTTAAATGCACCAAAGGCACGTAGGAGTAATTCCGGAATCCGGTCATAAGACTTTCAACTTAAATTTCTTCTTTGTTGCAAGCCCCTAAAGAATGAAAAAAATGCTGTTTTCTGCATGCTTTCATGTTGTCATCTTTCTCTCAACAATAGCTATTCCCTTTCTCTTGAAACAAATTACCAGTGCAACACTTGAAACAGACTTTTCACCACTTCTTCTGTCAACCATCATGTTCTCAAAAGAGAAATAATAGATCTGGAAGCTTGTTTGCACCAGTACACAATGAGAGAGAAAAGATAAAAAAAACAAAACAAAACAAAACAAACAAAAAAAAAACCCACTGAAATGAATATTTAGTCTCAGGGAAAAAGAAATCAACTGAGCATTTAATAAATTGCCTGAACTTCACTGATTGGAAGTAAATCAAATAATTTTGTTGTTATTCAGCACTTCTTTCAACAGGTGAATAAAAAGGCGGGTAAAAAGAGTTTATATTCACTAATAAATGGATGGTTCTTGAAGAATCCTTTTACTATCAACAGCGTCTAGCTCAATACCGGAAAGGAAATGGTGAACCTTCAGATGTCAAGATATATGGAATTTGACTCTGTTGTCACCTCTATTTCATGATATTCTTCAAAAAATTTCATTAATGTGCTCTAAAATATAAAATAATGTAGCAAAAAACAATTCCAAATTGCATGTAGGCACACACAAAAGTTGATTCAGAGATGCAACAGAAATATTTTTTGCATTCAGTCTAAACAACAGAATTGGAAGTTTGAATTGCAGTTGCATACTTGAAATAATGCCTATGAGCTACTGTTCATAAACTAATCTTGGGCTGAATTGAGACCATACAATATAATTCGTAGAAAAGCAAAACTTACGAAAGTGATAATTTGTTTGCAGACAGCTTGAGACAGGAGGAAAAAGGTCTAAATTTAACATTGTTCACTGGGACTAGTTCACTCTGTGCTTCTCTTAATTTAGGTGGAGAAAAGCAAATAATAGACAGTATGTACAATACAACAGACGGCTCAGCAGAGGAACATGAAATGAAAATTAAATATCTGTAATTTGTTTGTGCTCAGCAGTTGGTGGTTATCCAACTTTCTAATTATCAACATAAAATTAGAGTTCTGTGTTCAGAATCCAGATTTGTTATCCCAGCGTGACCGGGATGACTGTTCCTTGAGCCGTTTCACCGGCTGTTAAAAAAAGTGTTTTCTCATTATGCTGGGGATTTTGTTACATAGTTTTGTCCCACACCCCCTAAAATTAAAGGAAATTGAAAGCAGTAAGCCCTGCAGATGGCTCAGCAAATGCACTTGCTGGTGGCTGTTGATATCTGGCAAAGATTATGTATTTGTCAGATACCTGGTGTGAGTCAGATACAGAAAGGGATGCAAAATAGGTTTATAATGCCTAATTTGTCACCCGAGCATTTGTTTACAGATACCTAATAGAAATATTCTTCTCAGTTTCTCACGTTGTGGGGTAATAGTCAGATTCTCTTTTCTGTCTGCAAGAGAGTGGGATTTTTTTCTTTTATATTTATGACAAGTCTGTGAACCTGAATACAGTAATGATTGGTTCCCCCGCACTATATCTATAGTTCTATCAGCTGTTCATGTCTCTACAATATTTTGCATCCTTCTTTTTGATGCAGTCTGCCAATGCAGTAATGGAAATGAAGGCCTAAGTATATATAAATATATGTAATAAAAAATTCTTATTAAACAAAGATATACATTCTGAAACAAATGTATTAAATCCCATGTTTGGTGGGCAGTTCTAAAGTAACATGAGTGTCAGATCTCACAATGTCCCCAAACAGCATAATCCAGTCAGCAAAATCCCTTGTCCAGGTATGACCAACACCAGCAGGAGTCCTTTGCCAACACAGCCTCAGAGGTTTGCAGAGGCAGAAGAATTCAATCAGCAAAACAACTTCCTTTGCTGGTATAAGCTCTTTTCCCTACTCCAAGGAGCTCTGCTATTTCAGTTGTGCGGCTACTCCTATGGAGGTGGAGCATTTGTGGAAATATGAGTGCAAGCAGCAGTGAAGGTGTTAAGAGCAAGTACCAGTCATATTAATAGCAGCTGAAAACTGTAGTTTTTAAGACCTGAGTTAGGTATGTTTGGAGAATGAGGTTCGTATTTAGCAGCACTATCTTTTACTATGCCTTTGTTGTTTTCCCCTCTTTGGTAATGGTTCAGAGCTTCAGGCTTAATTCTATATGATTACTGTTCAAGTCAATGGGAGTTTTCCGTTGACCTGGATAGCAACAAAGTCAAACTCTTGATTTCTAATTAGAAAATACTGGTTGTAAACTGGAAGAACAAGGCCGGAGGCAAATGGGAAGGAAAACAGGGACTCATGAATTAAATGCAGTTTACTAAGTTGTATGAAGTATTAAAGTACACCATGTTGTTATTCCCTTACAGAACAGAGACAATCATAATTGCTAATTGGTGTCAGTCAGAACCATCCAACGCTTAGAAAGAAAATTAATATTTGGGCTACTTCATGTAGCTTGGGAGCTTACATTTTTGTTCATAGCCTGTTCTACGTTCATACTGTTCCACAGCAAAACTGATCACGAATACACTGTTGTTTCCTCTGAATGTCCATGCCGTGTCACACTGACTATGATTCACAAGCAAGAAATTAGGTATAAAACAATGCCAGATTTTATACAGTTCCTCTTAAGGTGACAACTGTGTTTATGAACAGTCACAAAGCAATGAGTTATAAAAGATAGCTGGTTATAGTATGTGTTATTTATGATCACCTCTTCTAACATTGAGCAGTTATGGGGTAGGGGATGTGGGAAAGGAATTTTAATTTGTATCTGTGACTTGTTCATTAAAGCAATTTCACAAAACACCCTATGCATCTATAGGTTTTTATTTTAACTCTCTGGAGCATTAGACACATTCACTGTTTTTTATGCAATAACAATTTTCTCTTTTTAAAATATTTCTAAGGAAACTTTTTTTTCCAAAATACTTTTGGGTAGCAGTGCTTCTTCTGCAGATTGATCCCAGTCACAATTTCTAACAAGTCTAGTTATCACAGATCATGAATTTTCTTGAAGATCTTTGAATAGGAGACCTGCTGGAGGAATTTCATGAACATACAGTTCAAAAACATGAAGTCATTTATTTCAACAATCAAATATGTATTTACTTCAAGGTTTTCTCTGTTTCTGGTAATCATTTCAGCACCTGAAGCGACATTCATTATTTCTCTAAGTTGCATTAATATTTTTGAAGCATCTTGACTTTTCTGTAGAAATTCTTGAGTCCGGTCAGTTGACCCAGACACAAAATAATTATTTGTATTAATGTGTTGAAGGATATTTAACGGAAGAAAGATAAATAGCAAGGCTATAAGCTTGAATTATGTTGTTTATATTATTTGTGTAGAAGTGTGTTGTGTCTGCTTTTTGAAACTTTTAAATCATTATTTCTAGCTCATAGTGTGCCACAGAAGAAGTAATTCTTATTCAGTGTTCTTGCACAATACAACTCAGTCAAATAGGGGAGATGAAAATAGAAAAAAAATGTCTTCTGACAGTTGCTATAGTGATGCTTAGTTATTCTTTTAGCATGAATTGAACTTCAAATATTTTGAATGCTGCTGCTTCTCTTTGGAAGCCTATGGATATAGATTCATTTTAAATAGCATAGTATACATAAGAGTTTTAAAACACAGTATATAGTAAAACTTTGACTTATTTTATGTGGGAAGACAATTACTTATTTTTAAATGGTCTAAAATCCAGGTGAAAGTCTGAGTTGTGTGGACTTTTTTTTCTGTGCAAAGATACTTTTGTTTGTTGGAATATATCCTACAACACACATGGGCAGTCACACACCGTTAGAAAATGTCTTTATTTCTTTCTCTTAAGGTGTGGAACAATTCACATGTCTGAAAAGCACGCCGGTCTGTCTTAGTGGTAGAAATTAAATATTCTTTTCACAGCTGCGTGTACCTCCCCCTTTTGAAAATTTACTGTTTCAAACAATGTTAATGTAGAAATCAGAGCTTGAGCCCCTTTGGGAATTTTTGATTTCACAGCAGATATCATCTTACTATAAAACATTTTCCAGAAAGGGAGGGAAAATACATATTCCTTCAGCAAGAACTTGAATGTTTCAGTTAGCTTTTGATTGCTTTTAGAACTAACCAGATAAAGACCAGTTTATTTGCAATAGAGAACCCTTATCACGTAAATGTTAAACATGTGAGCAGTCCCATTAACTCTCTTAAGATGGGGCCTGTCCCCAGGAGCAGCAGGCATGCTCCTTCACCTGCAGCTCAGCAACTGCTTAATCACCATGTCATTCCCTGTGGGATCCAAACAGGATTCCAATAAGAAAGGATTTGCCGTTTCAAACTTGCAATTTCTTAATTTCTTACCAACATTTAAATAGGATTTTATTTTTGTACTGTGCACACAGTTTGTTCGGGTTCTTAATGTGGGGTTTGGGGTTTTTTTAACGTTACTTTTGTTTGCATAAATCTTGTTGAGTATTTCCCCTCCTTTTCACACAGATCAGAAATTAGGTCTGTAGTGCAACTTAAAACAGATTTGGGTTATTTAAAACATGAAAATGAATACATTCCCAGCAATACATAAATCTTACTTAACACTTTCTCTTAATAGTCCCTTTCAAAATGTATGTGTGGAAACTTTCTAAAGCCCCAACAGCCTTTCTGTATGAAAAAGCGGACAGAGCTCTAGATCAAAGCGGCATTTTCATTATTCAATCTGTTCTCCCGGCTCCCAGAGCGTGGAAGGAGAACACCATGAGAAGGCGGTGGAGCTGCTGAAGGCGGCTAAGGACAGCGTCAAGCTGGTGGTACGCTACACTCCCAAGGTGCTGGAGGAGATGGAGGCTCGCTTCGAAAAACTGAGAACAGCGCGGCGCCGGCAACAGCAGCAATTGCTCATTCAGCAGCAGCAACAGCAGCAAACTACACAGCAAAACCATATGTCGTAGGTGAGAGGATTCATTGGTCTTCCCTAAAGCCCGCTGACGGCACCCTGCCTGGGCCAGCAGCTCCCGGGGGTCCAGGGGTCCGTCAGGGCTGGGCCTG